CCTGTTCAGTTTCTGTTGGAATGTGAAGGGTTAAATGAAAGAAGCTTCTTTGGCCGTCTCTGCTAGTTACTGAGAAGATAGGTGATTGGTGGTCCTGCTGTAAATTCACAGAGGGCCAGCTATAGTAACTCAACGAGAGAGTAATGTCAAATGACAGTACAAATGACCAATCATATCTTCATTTTAAATGGGTGGACTTTATTTTCCTTAACAAGTTCCACCCGCTGTGAAGTTTATGCATGTGTGTTATAACAATGGGTCAAGCTAGGCGGAAGTAGCTAATTAGCATAAGTTCGTTCATGATGGCTTCATGTCAGTGATAGTGATGATATTGTTACGAAATTATTAACCGAGCCATTTTCAAGATTGAGTTACAATGATAAATTGGAGTGGATAAGGATCAGCTGCATGACCCCGCCATCAAGTACTTCATCCAAAAGGACAGGAGGATGGACTTTGTGTTTAAGTGATTTAGCATCAAAGGTAATTTTCAATGTGGGCCGCCGTGCCGACTTAATTCATTTTTAATTGTTACTTGGCTGTGGGTGCCTTGTCATGATAGGTGTTTATATAAATGTTGTTGTTTTGTGTGGTAGAGGGTTGCTGTCATTGATGTGTTTTGCACCCCGGGCCGTTGTTTTGATATTCCGCTGAAGTATACGCTGTGACGTAATGAAGGGGGTTGTCAGAAGGCCTGGTATAAAAGTCACGGCTCGCCACTGATCAGAGCATGGTATTTGTCCAAATAAAACTTGTTGTTTAAATATATTTTTTAATGACAGATTCACCTAGCAGTCATTGGGAAACAACATCATGGGGAGCCAATGCTCTGCACTCAGGAAGGGTAAAATAAAGGAAGATGAGGCTACCACCAAAGGGGAAAGTAGAGAAAAGTCTCCTCTCATGCAAAGAAAGCCATCTTTGAAGGAGGAGGAGGGAACCATGAAGGAGACAACAGAGGAGGAAACTTTAAGGAGTCAAGTAGAAGAATCTTCCTCAAAAGAAACGGCATGTATTGAGTGCAGCAGTTCTCTTGCACATGGATATACTGATGTTGATGTTCACACCTCAAGGTGAGATTCCCATGGTCACTAAACATTATTAATATGTGTATATTGAATTGTTTATAATAATTTTCATAGCTCTCAGCATTAACTGTTGTTTTTATCACGTCACAGTCCTAGCCTTTCTGAAACACATGATACTGCTTCAGCTATGACAGAGAACAAAGGTGAGTTCAAGTCAAAAGTTTGATTTCAAGTCAAAACTTGATTTCAATTCATGAGAAATTAAATGCCAATCACAAACATATTCCTATTTATTCTGTTGCATGTCTGTAAACTTTACTTTAAACTATAAATGAATGTGCCATCATGTGTTTGTCATCTTTTAAAAAGAGGCTGAGTGGGTTGACAACAACAGGTCTAAGCTCATTGACAACGTCCCCCTAGTGATGGCAATAGCTGATGAGTTGCTTCAGCAGAAATTCATACGAAAGGAGATGTATGCCAACATTGAAGCTGCCACAACCAACCAGAATAAGATGAGGGAAGTCTACAAAACCCTCACAACTTCAAAAGTCAAATCTGCCTTCTATAAAATCCTTCAAGAAAAGCAGCCAGGGATTTGTGAAAGTATGTGATGACTTTTTGATAACTTGTATACAAAATGATGATAATGTCTATAATGGTAAGCGTAGGGTTATGGGTTAGGGTTAGGTTAAACCGACTTGTCAAATATATAATTCTGACAAAATAATTTGACACAGGTATTTCCAGCCTTTTTATTCAAATAGCATTTTGAAAAAACATTGTAGCAATTTACAAGATTAACAAATGTATTACACAGTGCAGGATTGCTGTAGCCCTCAAGATACTGCTTTGATTATGCTTTGACATCACAACTCTTGTTCATTGCAGCAGAAGATTTCGTCAAAGAAGTCATCAAAATTCACAAAGCACACCTGAGGGAACAGTTCAAATACGAGTTTGAAGGCCCTGATAATGATCGTGGGGAGGCACAATTATTAGACAACATTTACACAGAGCTTCACATTGTACAAGAAGATCGACAACAAGAGGGAGTACAACGTGTCAATATAGAACATGAGATTTGGGAGATTGAAGACAAGGCGAGGAGTCAAAAAGCTGAGGAGTGCACTAAACTTGATTGCAACAGCATCTTTAAAAGTACACTAAAAGATAGTGTGTCATCTCAGCAAGAGGACTTGAAAGCTATCAGGACCGTGGTGACAAAGGGAATTGCAGGCATTGGAAAAACTATGTCTGTTAAGAAGTTCATTCTTGACTGGGCAGACGGGAATGCCAATCAGGACTTGGACTTCATCTTTGTGCTACCATTCAGGAAGTTAAATCTGGTAAAAAATCAGCATAGCCTTGAAACACTTGTGAGAGAGTTCCATCCAGAACTTAAAAAGATATCAGTTGCAAGAGTATTTGCTGATCACAACGTTTTGTTCATTTTTGATGGTCTCGATGAAAGCCAGCTTCAACTGAATTTTAGGGAAACAGAACTATTGACAGATGTCACCAAAGAATCATCAGTGGACACTCTTGTGACCAACCTCATCCGGGAAGATCTTCTTCCCTCTGCTCATGTCTGGATAACCTCAAGACCAGGAGCAGTTCAGCGCATCCCTAGACGTCATGTATACCGGTGGACCGAGGTCAGAGGATTTAATGATCCACAAAAAATAGAGTACTTCCAAAGGAGAGTTGAGGACAAGTCAATTGCTGCAAGAATTATCGACAACATTATGATGTCCAGGAGCTTGTACATTATGTGTCACATACCTATCTTCTGTTGGATTGCGGCAAAAGTTTTTGCAGTTTTGCTGCTAAGAATGGACAATACTCAAGATAAAGACATAAAGATACCCACAACGCTTACCGAAATGTACACACATTTCCTTTGCATTCAAATGCAGGTAGCTACCGAAAAGTATGGCGAAGAAAACGGATTAGATCAAGAGCAGATCTTCGAGTCGAATGATGAATTCATTTTTAAATTAGGTAGGATGGCATTTGAATATTTGATTGAAAGCACTATCGTATTTACTGACAAGGATCTAGAAAAAAAATATGGCATTGACATACGTAAAGCTGGAGTTAACTGTGGGTTGTGCACAGTGGTATTCAAACAAGAGGAAGGTTTGTACAGAAAGAAACTCTACTGCTTTGTTCATCTGACAGTCCAGGAGTACTTTGCTGCTCTCTTTGTGTACCGCAGTTTTGCAAGTAAAAAGATAGATTCCCCAAGCCTCATGAATTTCCTGCTCAAAGGGTCCGAAAAAGAGCTCAAGTGTATCTTGGATGCAGATCCAATTGATTTACCTTTGGATGAGCTGATTGAAATTTCAATAGCTAATTCTCTTCTGAGGAAGACAGGAGAACTGGACATGTTCCTGAGGTTCCTTATTGGCATGTCCCTACGATCAACACAACAACTGCTTCAAGGCTTGATTCAGCAGACAGAGGAACACTCTAGAGTTGTTAAGGAAATAAAAACAAGTCTTGTAGAAATAAATATGCTTAGTTGCCCCCCTGAAAGAAGCCTGAACCTTGTTCATTGCCTGATCGAGCTGAAAGACACTTCCATACACGATACTGTGCAGAAGTATTTGAAACCAGATCATGATGCAGAAACACAGCTTTCCCCTTTTATGTGCTCCGCTTTGGCCAACTCAATTATAATGTCAAAAGAGCCCCTAGAAGAATTCAACCTGAAGAAATACAGACCTTCAGCAAATGGTATTTTTAGGCTTGTCCCAGCTGTGAGGAACTGCAAAAAAGCAAGGTGGGTTGGTTACTGGTGGAATAAATACATTGCCTGCAATCACAAAAAAAACAACAATCTAAATTACAGCATGTAAGCTGAAAGGCTTACATATTTGTAATTTACCTGCACAGTGGAAACATAATAATACGTATCTTAAACTGAGACTTTAATTGATCTTGTACTATTCTCTATTTTATTTATTTCAGAATTTCAGGGGTGAATCTTGATGTTTACCTTTGTGAAACGATCTCATCAGCTCTTCGGATGCCAAACTCTGTGCTTACTGAACTACACCTGATCAATATAGCCTTAAGTGACAAAGGTGCGCGGGTCTTGGGTAATGGACTTGAAAACTCTCAGTGTAACCTTGAAGCTCTGAGGTTAGTAAAACTATTATTTTGTGTGATGCTGTTTTTCTTTCTTTTTTCTTTTCTGTTGTTTGTAGTACTTTTGGAGAAATTGGGTTGGAAGTGAATTGCATTAAACCATTGGTAATTTTGGCATAGCTGATTTTATATAATTCCAGTGGAAAATGGCCTCTTAGCCAAGAGGATTATTAAGCGACAAGGGCAATAAGAAACATAATTCACCCACTTTCAGTCAGTGTTGCCGAGTTGTTGCTGTTGCTGTTGCTGCTATACATGCACTCGGGACAGATTGCCTGTTTTTGTCTGGTGTGTTTAAAGTTTCTCAACTAAAGACCCTTTACAAGAAGAAATGGCATCAGCTATCAAATCAGTCATCAAAAAGGAGACTCTAAGGGAACTTGAGCTGAGTGGCAAAATAATGGTCGATACATTATACCCTTTGCTTTCTGATGGACTGTTCAGCCCTAAACTAGAGACGCTCAGGTCAGTCTCATACTGTTGTTGTTATTCCCCAAAATGTTGAAGTATGAAAACAAGGTTTTTAACTTGATTGATTATATGTCATCTGGCAGAATTATGTATTTGTTCTATGAAGATATATCCATTTTAGGAATACATGATCTGCTCAAACAGCTAATCCAGAAAAAAGTTGTCTTTGATTCGAAACTCTACTTTTATGTCAAATTGTTTTAGATCACAAGTCAAATTGGCAAAGTGGAATTATCTATTTATTTATTTGTTAAATTAATGTAATGTTTTTCACCTGTGTGCCAAAAGACTGAACAGAAATCAGGGGATTGCAAAGATCTTTAAGGAGTTTGTGGCTGCGTTTGCATCCAAGCCATGCTCCTTACGACAGCTGGAACTGAGTTACACCAGTTTAAAAGACTCAGAAATGGAGATCCTCTCTACTGGGCTGATGAGCACAAACTGTAACCTGGAGGTGTTGAAGTAAGGAAGTATGCAAATAAGCCCAATAATGTCTAAGAAAGTCAACTTCAACTCATTGTACATCGAAAAAACTAAATTGTGAATATATTAGGTAACGTATTATTATGTTAAGCAATTAAACAATATTTTTACATTTGTCTTTCAGTCTCAGTCACAACAGACTCACTGAGAAAGGTTGTAAGATGTTGTCCTCAGCACTCAGCTCCAAATCTTCCCGTCTGACAAAACTAGACCTGAGCTACAATGACCTGCGCGACTCAGGAGTGATGGCGCTCTGTACTGCACTGACAAAACCACAATGTGGTTTGAAAACACTAAGGTAGTGTAATGTCTCAATTATATTAGAAATGTATTCATCAAGACGTAATGCTTAGTTCTTGAGTATTTCTAGCCAAACACCTTATGCGACGCTAACTTAGTAGCTAGGTGTCTAATGCTAATAAGCTGTGGCCATGGTCGCCTCATGATTGGCTGGGGCAGATGTACTGCTAAATTAATTGTAAAAGACTTACAGGGCTTCACGGCAGTGTAGTCCAGTTTGTTTAGGTATGTTCAGGAGCAAATAACTGTCTAACTTGCTTGTTAGTTAAGTTTTTTTTCTGCATGTAAACCGTCTGCAGAGTCAAAACCCCTCAAAGTACACCCTGTAGCAAGTAAAACTCTAACACAGAAATGACCTGTCTGTGCTGCCCCAGAACACCTCGTTGGAGATTTTTCATTTTCCATTTTTTTCTTCCTGGGTATGGTGACCTAACCATACCCAAATGGACCAATCCGCGGAGCCGTTACGTTAAGTCCGCGGGGGGGGCAGGAGCTCAAAAAAGCATTTTAGGACAGAGAGTGAATACACATACTATACAGAGATGCTGTATGAGAAACCAATGTGAGTTTGGAAAATTGAACAATATAAATGTATTCTAGTAGACCTCAACAATGGAATTATGATCAGTAGAAATGGCCATGAAATGGGACCTTTAAAGTCTTATTGCTCGTTTTAAAGGCTGTATTACAGTCAAGTGTTGTTATATTATGGAATCTAAGTTTTT